TAGAGCTTTTGCCCCAAAGCTTCACACCTCCTTTGTTCACTGCCCAAGAGGGCAAGCCTCCTCCCCAAAGTACAAACCAACCTCAGTAGGAAATGACTTTTCTCAACACCTCAGCCTGTGAGAATTTCCGGTCCTTCCCTGCCCAGCCCTCAGGGGAACATGCTGATGGCTGTTAGAAGGCTGGGATAGATTCCCAAGTTAGGAGGCTAGGGATGCATCCTCCAGGAAGAATTGAGGGAATCAAATCACACGCTCAAGTTTAACTCTGATCTTTGGTCTTCAAGGTTTCCCAGAGCTGGGGGTAAGGGACTGGTGGTTGTGTGTGTTAGGAAGGAATTGGGCCAGGGCTGGGGTTGGGGGTGGAGGGGAAAGCTAGTCTGGCTGTTCCCATTTCCCTTCACATCCTGGTTCAAGTCTAACCTCTGACCTCCTTCTAGCCTCAACCCCCACCCCGTCTAGTGGGCCAGGCCAATCTTGGCTTTCAGGTCAGGCGCTTCCAAAGGTACTTCTGTCTTTTTTCTACCCCCAGGGGAGGAAAAGTCCCCAAGTAACTGGAACAGAGGGGAAAACCAAGGACTGAGCCAGTTCTAGAGAGGGGAGGGGGAAACCCAAGGAGGAAGGACAGGGAGGCTGGGGGTGGGGATATTTTGGAAGAGGAGAAGGCTTTTCTTGTCCCCAGAGAGAAGGAAGCACTGTCTGTAGCAGTGGCCCAGCTGGGGGTGTGCAACCCCGAGGTCACCCACTTCAAATGGCCTCTGTGTGAGCCTCTCCCATGGGGCAGACTTGGGGTTCAAAAGCCTTCTCTCTGCTCTTTGGCCAGTGTTGTTCTACCTCTCTCTTTCCTTTATTCTGGGATGTCCCCTCTCTCCTCTGCCCCAGCCCCCCCCTTCTCCTTCCTTGGTGCTGTAAGACCAAGCTGCTTCCTGTCTTTTCTCTCCCTAGAACCCCAAATTCTCCCTTTCTTTTTTTCCTGCTTCCACATTCTCTCCCCTCCAAAGCTGTGATCCTACCCCATGACCCATGCTCAGGGCTCTAAGGCTGTCTCCAAATCACCGTCAGATGGATTCGGGGTGATCACAGACTCAAAGGAAAAAAAAGAAAGGAAGGGAGGACTTAGAGCCTGAGGGAAGAGAGAGGCAGCAGCAGCCTGGGCACACCCAGAAAATCACACACCCAGACACAAGCAACTTGATTGCTGGGCAGGATCCTTGGGGCTCCAACATGAATGGCAAAGGAGGACAACTAGAAGGGTGTGTGTGCTGAGGGAGGAAGGGAGGCGGCACAGAATTAACCAGAAAGAATAGAAGAAGACCAGAATACAGGGGTATAAATATCAGTCAAGACTGGAGTCCAGACAACTGGAAAGTGGGTTTGTAAGAAGTCAGGCTTGGCAGCAACCCTACCTGTTTATGATGTCTTTCAGGGGACCCTTTAACAAGGCAGCTGCGGCTGAGACGGAGATAACCCCCAAGAACCAAGATCTCTTCAGCAGTCGGGTACCGCTTTTTCCCAGCTCCGGGGGCTGCAGCATCAGCTGGGGCTGGGGTGGCTGGGCTTGCAGGGGGCACAGACCTCCGGGGGTTGACTGTGAAGGTGTGTCCACTGCGGCGAGGGGCCCCTACCCCTGGCCCTGCCTTCACTCCATAGAACAGTCGACTCATGAGGGGATCCCCAGAGGGCTGGGGGGTAGTTGGGGCTGGGGGTGGGGGAGAGAAAGGGGCTGGTGGTGGGGGCTGGAGTTCTGCTGCTTCCTCTTCCTGTTGCCTAGAGCCTCCAGTCCCAGCATCCTCTTCTGGGAGGGCGGAGGGTTCTGCAGGGCATTGGTTCTGCTGGGTTCTCAGAGGCCTGCTCTGAGTCCCAGCCTCCTCCTTTTTAGCCTCCCCTTCTCCAGCTTCCATACCAGGAGGCCCCAGAAGCTTGTCTGCAGACTCCGGAGTCTCTGGTTTCTGAGGCTGAATCTCTATGTCCCTGGGTGTCCATTCTCGAGCCTTCCCTGAGTTCAGCGTCCATTTCCGCCCTTCTGTTGTCCTCGATCCCCTCTCACTGTCCTCCACAGGGCTGGGCCTCTGTTCTGTGGTCTCCACTCCCCTGGAGATGTCCTGAGTCTCTTGAGTGAAGGTCCCTGTAGTCTCTTCTGGGGCCATCTCTGGACTTGGCCTCTCTTCTTTTCTCCCACATTCCTCCAAACAGCCTTTTCTTTCTTCCTTTAAGCTCAGCCTCCACTCGGAGGATTCCAGTTGTACTGAGTTCTGTTCCTGAGACTCTCTGGAGTCAGGCCTCCATTGATGGGCCTCAGTCAAGGCCAACTTGGTGTTACCAGATTCCCCTGGGCTCAGTCTATTTTCTGTGGTCTCTTTGCTCTTGGGACTTTGATCTCTAGGCTCTGCTAGTCTTAGACTCTGCTCTGGGGTTTCTCCAGGGCTTAGCCTCCATTTCTGACTTTCTGACAATCTTGAGTTCCGGTCTCCCATCTCTCCTGGCCTCCAGTCTCGATTCTCCAAAGGTCTAGGGCTTGACTCTTGGGCTCCCCCTATGCCCAACCTCTTCTCTCTGGCCTCCTTTAGACTTAGCTTCTCTTCCCTTGACTCTCTTCCTTTGGGGCTCTGATCTCTTGAATCCCCAGGGCTAGATCTCCGTTCTCGAGCCTCCAGAGGCCCAGTCTTTCTCTCAGCCAGCAGCTCTTCATTCCGTTGCTGTTGCTGCTGACGTTCTTGCCGGATGAATCGGTTCTGGTGCACTGGTCCAATGGCCTCCAGAAGAACAGCAGACTCATCTGGGTCTGGAGGTCCAGCCTCTGCAGTTCCAGGTACAGGGCTAGGCTCCCCAGGCGACAAACCAAGCTTAGCCCTGCGGCGCTCCAGGAGTCCCCGCTTCCAGGCTGGCATCTGGGACAGGCGGTCCCGCTCTGCCTTCTCTCTGCCACGAACCACTGCCTCCTCCTGCCGGCGCCGGGCTAACAGCTGTAGCTTCCAGTCTGGGATGGTGGTCATGGTTAACTAGGTGTGAAGGTAGGGGGTACTGGGGACAGAGAACAGAAAAAGAGGGTTCAGAGGGGCTCAGGGGGTGAGACTCAAGGGGGGTATAAGGAAGTGATAGGGCAGAGAAGTGGGGCAGAGAGATCAGTGGAGTTGAGGATAAAGACAGAGGAAACGGAGAGATGAGAGAAGACAGAAAGAAGGAAATGAAAAAGGGCTGTGAACCCTGTCGGGGGAGGGGGAGGGGAGTGATGCGAGAGGAAAAGTGGAGATTCAGGGCAGAGGCAGGGGCCAGATTGAGTGGTATGTGTGAGTGGGTTTGAAAGTTCCAAGGCTGTGGGCAGGAGCGAGAAGAGCTGGAGTGAGGAAGCAGGCAGGGAGGGAAAGGCCAGGGTAGAGAGAAGACCGTGTTCAGGCGAGGCGGGACTCAGGGATGAGAGTGGGAAGGACGGGGCAGGGAAAAAGCCAACGCGGGGATGCCGGGGAGGAGAGGAGGGGCGTGAAGAGGTCAGGGGGAGAAGGGGAAACCGGGGAGCGGCGGGAAGGGGAGCGTCTCCGGAGCAGCCCGGCGCGTCTCGGCGCGGGCCGCAAAGGTCCAGGCTGGCTCCCCAGCGCCGCTCGGCCCCGCCCCCGAGGCCCCCAGGCCCCCCGCCCCCCAAAGGCGGGCCCGGGGAAATACCCTCCCCCGGGACTGTGGGAATCCGGTGGCGGTGCTGCCAGCGCGTTCTCAGGACCCTGGTGTCCCCCCCCCGTCAGTCCTGTCCCCCCCTACCCGACGCACCTCCCGACCCAGATGTCCCCAAGAAGGGCTCCCGCGCCCTCCCCGTCTAGACCTGGCTCCTAAGGAAGCCTGACAGAGCCGGCCATGCCCACCCCGCTCAGACGGACCGGACAATCTCTGCACAAAGAATAGACAAGCCCAAGGTCTGGGCCAGGGACAGGAGAGGGGGGCGGAAGCGAGGAGACGACCTCCCCCCCAGGTCTGAGCCGCTCAGTCAACTCACACGCCTCGGGGTCCCGGGGAGGGTGTGCAGAGGAACCCGGCGTCCGGAGGGAGGAAGAGGAGGAGAGAGCGAAGGGGAGAGAGGAGGAGATCCGGAGTCGTGGGGAGGGGAGGAGAGGGAGGGGAGGGGAGGGGGAAAAGGGGGAGATGAGGTGGAGGCCCGAGACACGGACTGAGGGGCCGGTCGGGGGGCGGCGATCGCTTTGTCTAAGGACAATGGGGAGCGGGAAGGGGGCGCCGGACGGAGGGGCCAGGGGGCGGAGCCTCTGCGGGGCGGGGCCCGATGAGGGGCGGAGCCACGATGGGGCGGGGCCTCGATCTGCTCCACACCGCGCGGGAGTCTAGCTCCGAGGACCCCCCCCACCCCCACTTCTGGCGGTACCCCCCCAGCACTCTGCTGTCCCCCTCCCCCAGGGTCCCTCACCGGCTTTCTACCCCGTGGCACCAGCGAATCTAAGTGTCCCGATCTCACCCCCTGCTTCCCGCTCCCCCCCCCCCCCCCCCCCCCCCCCCCCCCCGCACCATCGCCCAGCTGGCCTACCCCGGGCCCTGGGCGTCGGCCCGTGACTCAGGCCCCCCGAGGGACTCGGAGAGGAAGCCACAGCTGCTGCCAGCCCGGCCCGCCCTTCCCATCTCGGGCCGCTCCTCCCCACGCTTTTGCCTTCCCGGGCCTCTTTGTTACAGCGGAATAGAGAAGGGGTGGGGGGACCAATCAGGAAGCGAGTAGCAGGAGAGGCTCTCAGAAGCAGCAAAGGGCTTTTGGGACCTCGCTCCTCTATCCCAGAGAAGCGTGTTTCCTGGGCTACCGCGGGAGAATTGAGGGACAAGGAGGAAGGTGGACACAGGCGTCGCTCCAAAGCAGGGGCGGACCCTCGGGGCGTGGCAGCTGCCACTGGGCGAGGTGGCTACCCACACTGGGAGCTTGGCGCTTCCAGTCTCCCGTTCGCCTTTCTTCCCAAACTCTGCCCTCATTCAGAGACACATTGAGAACACTGAATGCCATGTGTAGGGGGAAAAAAGGCTGAATTTTATTTTCCTGCAGCGAATGTTCCTCGGGAGATCAGGAAGCCCAGAGGTTACCAGAGTTAAGAGTGGGAGAATCCCTTCCACTAGGCGTGGGGATGGAGCCCTGGGGCGGGCCTGAGGCTGTGGAGAAAGTCGGGCAGGGGTGGAGAGGCATCGCTGAAGTGAAGATGGGCAGCCACATATGACTTTGATAGATTCTGACCCAGATTCTTGGAGTGGAGCCTGGAGATGGAGAAGGGGGTCCCTGAGGGACAGAGATGAGGGGCAATGCCAGAGGAGTGGTCAGGGAAGACCCTTTTCCTTGTAAGGGCAGTAGGGGGTCAGATCCTAAACAGTGAGGAGGTAGATGAGCTGCACATCCCTTCTTGGCTGGTGAGAAATGGACCTTAAAGTCTAGTGGCTGTCATTTTAAATTTAGGGTATGGAGGTGGATCTGGGGAAGGAAGTCTTAGCAGTGACAGGGACAGCCTCTAAAGTTCCTAGAGTTTAACCCCTGTCTGATGTTAATGAATTTGAATTTGAGGGGGAGAAGTGACAGGGCTTGGAAATAGAGTTAGCTCTTCACTCTGCCTCCCCATCCTGGGGCCGGGAGAGCAGGTGGAGTTTTCTTTGTAGCTGAACCCTCAAGTATCCGAGGTCTTGCTGGTCAAGTCCATGAGCCAGACCTAGGTAGAGGGTAAGGAGGAAAGCAAGGAGGAGGCGGTCTATGCTCAAGGTGGGGACCACCCACAGCACCATCAGCAGTTCCACACACACTGGGTGACGCAGATGGGAAAAGAGCCTCAGAGCCCGGGGAGACTTCAATGCCAGAGGCTCACCCAGCCCCAGCACATGGTAGTACACCTAGGAGAGAGAGCAGCATAGAAATCGAGTTAAGGGGCTGGGAAGGTGGCTCAGTGGTAGAATGCTTGCCTTGCATTCATGAAGCCCTGGGTTCGATTCCTCAGTACCACATAGCAGAAAAAGCCAGAAGTGGCACACTGTGGCCCAAGTGGTAGAGTGCTAGCCTTGAGCTGAAGAGCTGAGGGACAGCGCCCAGGCCCCCACAACCAGCAAAACAAACAAACAAAACCAAGCCTAGTGCTTTATCCTCTCCGTTCTCCCCCCACCTCTCCCCTCAAGCCTCTGATTTCTAGCCTTTGCATCTTCCCCAAGCCTAGGAGATTGATTAAAAATTGCTGATCTTTGAGGGCAGACTAGAAGGGACAGTGGTGGGCGGGGGGGAAGTGGGCGGGTAACAAAGGAAGAGCAGGGAGAAGGTAAAATAACTCAGGAGAAGGGAAACCCAAGGAGAAAGGAGAAAGACAAATTCCAGATAGGGTTAGAGGTCTTAGGGATCCGGGAACTTCACCTGTTTGAGGCCCATGAGCTCAGCGTAGTCAAAGACAAGAAGGATGCTGAAGATGAGGAGCCAGGAAATGATGTGGAGCACAAAGCAGAGGAGGGGCACCCAGGTGACCCAGGGCTCAGCCCGAGCCTCCCACAACACAGGGCCTCTGGGTATGGACTCCCAGTACCGCATCACCATCTGGGGAAGAACAAAGTTGCTGGGTATCCCAGCAACTGCCCACTCTGGAGAGACCCAGACTGCCCCTACCCCAAGAGAGCCCATAGTTTATTCCCCAGCCAATATTCTATCAGGTAAATGGTGTTAGATGGGATTCCGAGGACTTGAGGATGACCTAATTCTAAACAGAATTTACAGAAGGCCTTAGAAAGTAGCCTATGCTAAGGACCCTATGAGAAGACAGACAGATAAAGTAACTAGAAAGCAAGTCTCCTGAGACCTAGGGAGGTATTTTGTAAGACCGGGTAAGACTAAGGAGTTAGTCTGGTGCCAGTGGCTCACCCTGTAATCCTAGCTACTAGGTAGGCTGGGATCTGAGGACTGTAATCCCAAGCCAGCCTGGGCAGGAAAGCTTGTGAGACTCTGATCCCCAATTAACTGCCTCAAAAAGCCAGAAGTAGAGCTGTGGCTAACGTGGTAGAGCACTAGCCATGAGCAAAAAAGCTCAGGGACAGCACCCAGGTCCTGAGTTCAAGCCCCAAGACTGGCACCAATGAGAGAAAGACTAGGAGTTAAGGAGGGAACATGACAACATGAACAAAGTTGCAAGGATGAGAATGTACACATTGTGCTTGGAGAACGACAAGGACATTCTTCTTGATAACAAGGAGGATATCTGCCCTTGTAGAATGGAAGCTGAGATTAACATCCTCACTTGTCTTTTAAATCCATATTTTGCCCCTTCGTTCCAGGGTTTCCCTCCCTGGTTTCGGTCCCCCTTGAGGACTCAGTTGCTAGGATCTCATACCTGTAAGGCCAGGGCAGTGCATGCCACATACACAGACCTCTGAAGGACTCCAAAGTACCGGGAAATCCATGCCTTCATTGTCTCAGTTGCCATGAAGCTGTGCTGCCCAACAAATAGGAGCAGGAGTGCCAGATCCCAAGCCAGGGAGGTAAGGACACTCTGGTCCTGCAGGGCAGCCAGCCATCCCTGACGGGCATCTGTGGGGGAGTCAAGGGAGAAAGGGACAAAGGATGGAGAAAACAGCTAAACTATTTCTCCATTACTCTCCTCTCTCTTTGGGGCTCCAGTTCATGTCCCTTAATTGCTTTTAAGAATTTTCATGCTGGCAGGGCTGGGAAGGTGGCTCAGTGGTAGAGTGCTTGCCTTTCATGCATGAGGCCCTGGGTTCGATTCCTCAGCACAACATAAGCAAAAAGAAAAAAGCTGGAAGTGGTGCGCTAGCCTTGAGCTGAAGAGCTGAGGGACAGCGCCCAGGCCCAGAGTTTAGGCCCCACAACCGGACCCCCCCAAAAAAAATTTTTCATGCTTTCCCCCCAGGCTATGTCCAGTTCACATTCCCAATCCCATTTTTTCCTCTTCCCAGGGCCTCCTTCAGACCTGGGGAAGAGGATTCTTGGAAAAATGCACGTTGGGCAGTCACAAATGGCATGGCTAGCGATGCCATGTCTGGATCTCCCTTCAATAGTAGTTTTCCAGGTTCTCCCTCCTTTTAACACTCCCTCCTCCATTATTGTTCTATCTACATTTTTTTTTACCCTGCCTTCTGCATAACCCTTTCAGTCCCCACTTTTCGACTTCTCCAAACAGCTCATCTTATTTAGCTTCACAGGAGCTTTTGTGGTTCAAGTTCCCGGGCTAGGACTTCCCTGTCATTTGTCTCCAAGTCCCGCCCCCGCCCCCTGGGCTCCAGCTCCACCTCCCTGCTCCAGAGCTCATTCTTGATCTTTCCCGCTCACCCGGATCACCAAACTCCTCGATCCCTCCAAGAAGTGGCCGAAGGGAGGTAAAGCGCACGAACTCCACTCCGGTGCCAAAGGCCAGAATGAAAGAGGCGAGGGCAGCCGGGACGAGGAACAGTGCATGGGTCATGGCGAGAAACAGAGGGGTGGGGAAAGGGGCGGGCTTAGGATTCCCGCGGCTGCAAGCCCCGCCTCTCACCCGGGGTACTGCCCATCAGGGCGGGGCTCTTGCCAGCTAACACCCCAGTGTCGAGGGTGCGGGGATATTCGTTTCTCCAGCCTGCAATCTGTGCGTCACTAAAGGGAATGTTAGAACCCCAAGGGGATTGTTAAGGGCAGCTGCTCTGGGGCCACCTACGTGGGGCGAGTCCCAGCTCAGCTAGTTTCCTCATTTAAAATAAAGGCAATTCTTATTGTTGGGTTCTTGTGTAAACCGAACATTGGAAGCCCCGTTTTCTGGAACTTAGCCATGGTTAGAAAACCATCAGTGGGAGGTCACAAATTCTCAGTTGACACATCTATAATGACACTTCTATAATGAATCGTAAGAGAATACACTTTGACCCAAACTGAGAACCCCAAATCACCTATTAAATATCTAGCTTTTTAGGTTTGTATCCCAGACTGTCCTAGAGCTTACCATCCCACCACAGATGTGTGTGTGTGTGTGTGCCAGTCCTGGGGCTTGAACTCAGATCCTGAGCTTTGGTGCTCAAAGTTAGCACTCTACCACTTGAGCCACAATACCAGTTCTGGCTTTTTCTATGTGGTACTGAGGAATCGAACCCAGGGCTTCATGCATGCTAGGCAAGCACTCTGCCGCTAAGCCACATTCTCAGCCCAAAGTCACAGTTTTTAGTGAGACTTCTCCACGTAACTGTTCTGTCTTCATCTTTTTGTGCTCAGAGGTGGGTACTGAGGCTTTGCATTTTTGTGTGTGATTTCCCAATCTTCCTTTTTTTTTTTTTTGGTCAGTTGTGGGCCTGAGCTCTGGGCCTGGGCGCTGTCCCTCAGCTCTACCACTTGAGCCACAGCACCACCACTTCTGGCTTTTTCTGTTTATGTGGTGCTGAGGAATTGAACCCAGGGCCTCATGCATGCAAGGCAAACACTCTACCACTGAGCCACCTTCCCAGCCCTCTTTTTTTTTTTTTCTTCAGTTGTAGGGCTTGAACTCAGTGCCTGGGCACTGTCTCTGAATTTCTATTTTTATTTCCTGTGGGCCTAGGTGTTGCCCTGGGCTACTTTTTTGCTCAAGGCTAGCATTCTACTGCTGATAGAATGGCAATTTTTTCTGTAATTGGAATTAGAGGTCTCATGGACTTTCCTGTCTGAGCTGGCTTCAAACTCTGATCCTCAGATCTCACCCTCCTGAGGAGCTATGATTACAGTGTACAGCTTCTTTCCTACTTCTTTGTAATAACTCTTCCACAAATTATAAGCTGACAGTGCCAAGTTTGACTATGCTAGAAACTTGACTAAGAGAATTATTACACAAAGCTATGTACTGCAAGTTGTAGGATTCATTGGAAGTCAAAGATCTCTGTTCTTGAATTCAATTTGGGGCATTTAAAAACAATCCAGGACTGGGAATGTGGCTTAGTGGTGGAGTGCTTGTCTAGTATACATGAAGCCCTGAGTTTTATTCCTCAGTACCACATAAACAGAAAAGGCTGAAAGTGGCACTATGGCTCAAGTGGTAGAGTAGTAGCCTTGAGCACAGAGAGGCTCAGGGACAGTGCTCAGGCCCTGAGTTCTAGTCCCAGGACTAGTACAAACAACAAAAAACTCAACATGAAGAGAAATGCACCAACTCTAGACATGGAAGTTACTATAAGAAAACCTGTAAGTTCAGGGATAGGGACAATTTCATGTGGTAAGACTTTGAGGCTGGGAATGTGGCTTAGTGGTAGAGTGCTTGCCTAATATTCATGAAGCCTTGGGTTTCTCAGTATCACACAGAAGCTGGAAGTGGCACTGGCTCAAGTGGTAGAGTGCTAGCCTTGAGCAAAAAAAGCTCAGGGACAACGCCCAAGCTGAGTTCAAGCCCCTAGCAGGCAAAAAAAAAAAAAGACTTTGCATTGTACAAAGGAATTGATATTTGAGTTTTAGTGTGCCAGTCATGATGGCTAATGTATGAGTAGGTATGTATGAAATGCAGCTAGGATGTAGCTCAGTGGTAGAGCAGTTGCCTGGCAATGCACAAGGTCCTGGATTTCTTCCTCACAAGCACTGCAAGAAAATGAATAAAAAATAAAAGAGGCCGGGCGCTGGTGGCTCACCTGTAATCCTAGCTACTCAGGAGGCTGAGATCTGAGGCTCGCAGTTCAAAGCCAGCCTGGGCAGGAGAGACCGTGAGACTCCTATCTCCAATAAACCACCAGAAAACCGGAAGTGGCGTTGTAGTTCAAGTGGTAGAGTGCTCTCCTTGAGCTGAAGAGCTGAGGGACAGCGCCCAGGCCCAGAGTTCAAGCCCCACGACCAACAAAAAAATAAATAAATAAAAGAGGCTGGGAAGGTGGCTCAGTGGTAGAGTGCTTGCCTTGCATGCATGAGGCCCTGGGTTCAATTCCTCAGCACCACATAAGCAGAAAAAGCCAGAAGTGGCACTGTGGCTAAAATGATAAGGCACTAGCCTTCAGCTGAAAAGCTGAGGGGCAGCACCCAGGCCGAGTTCAGGCCCCATGACTGACAATAATAATAAATATAAATATAAAAAGAAAAGAAAGCACAGTACTTGGCAAACCTCACACTAACTGTACTACATCAATTTTTCAAAGTTTAATATTAATTTACATGCATAAAAATATATTGAACAACTATTTCTCATTGATGTGAAATTCACACAGTATAAACTATTTGTCAAACATGTTAATACAGTGGTATTAAGTACATCTGCAGAGGTACAACCACCTCCTCTGTCTAGTTCCAAAACATTTTATCACCTTACAATAAAACTCCAGACCCATTAATCAATTACCAAGTCCCCCTACTCCCTAGCCTCTGATAACCAGCGATCTGTTCTTGATCTTCATGGATTCACCCATCCTGGATATTTCATGTAAGTTAAATTGTGTCTGTTTTTTTCATTTAGTAAAATGTTTCTGAGGCTTATCCTCTAAGTACTATACTACTTTTTTATTCCTTTTTATGGTTGAATATTCCCTTGTATAGAATATATTTATCTTGCTGAACATTTGTACTGTTTTTCTCTTTTTTCTCTACTGTGAATAGTAATGGTATGGACATTCATGTATAAGTACTTGTTTTCAATTCTTTCAGGTACAGAACTAAGCAGAATTGCTGGGCAATATGCTAATCCTTTTTTTTTTTTGAGACAGGATTAGCACTCAGCCTCCTGCCTGAGTGCTGGGGATTAGAAGTCCATGACAATGTGCCTAGCTCTACATTTGTTTTTGTTTTTTTCTCTTTTGCGCTCTTCAACTCTGGGCCTGACCAATGTCCCTTAGCATTTTTGCTCCAGGCTGGCACAATTCCACTTCCAGCTTTTTGGTGGTTAATTGGAGGTAAGAATCTCTTGGATTTTCCTTCCTAGGCTAACTTCAAGCCATGATCCTCAGATCTCATCCTTCTGAGTAGCTAGGATTACAGGCAAAAGCCACCAGCACCTGGTTTGTATCTGTTTACCACGCAGGCCAAACTATTTTACATTTTCACCAGCAATATATAATGGTTCGTTTCTCCAAAGCCTTATAACTTAAAAAAATTCAAACTTAAAAAGTTAAATACGTGTTTATAACTATTTAAAAACCTTGTCTCAACACCAGACAGACATTTAAAAACAAACCATAAGGCACAGAGTAAGTGTTTTATTGTCCTAGAACCAAGTCAAAATGCTTATTTTAGAAATACTGGCCATAAAAGTACAGTCTCAAAGTTAATGAAAGCTTCTAACCAGCCAGGTGGGAGAGAGGAAAATATTTTAGTATTATTCCATAACTCCAACTTCATATTTTAAGTATCCTTTGATTGCCTGATACCAAAATTATTTTTGCTATCTACTGAAGATGAGCAAGAATCCTAGTAAGAAAAGGAGAGATGGCCTCCAAATAGGAGGTAGGCTACTTTTTGTTATGAGTGTTTGGAGAATGACTATGTGTGTGTGGCTAAAGACTATATGTGTGGCAGACACTTAAGATAGTTGCATATATGATTAGCCAATTTCCTTTCTTTGGTGGTGCTGGGGATTGAATCCAGAGACTCATGTGTGCTAAGCAAGCATTCTACCACTGAGCCACACTCCCCGGCCAGGGATTAGCCAACCGTGTATGTGTGTGTGTGTGTGGTACTGGGGATTGAACCCAGGATTTCTCAAGTGCTAGGCAAGCACTCTATCACTTGAGCCATCCCCCAACTTTTTTTTTCTTCAGATAGGGTCTCACTAGCTTCAGTTGAGCTGGCCTCAAACTCAAACTCTGGTTCCTCCTGCCTCTGCTTCTCGAGTAGCCAAGATTACAGATGTACACCATCATTATCTGGCTACAAATTTAGGCAGAATGGCCATTCTACATTTGGTTCCAAATTTCCCTATCTTTCTGTTTTCCCATAAACTTTCTGGTTTCATCTATATTCTAGGACAAGACATAACAATTTACCCAAGTCCTTGCTAAAGCCCTTGGTTCTTTTTAACATATGTCTTCTAGAACTTTATTTACTGGGCTGGGAGGGAAAAGATACTAGGTACTAGGGTTTTCAGGTAGATGACATTTCTGCATTGGAAAGGACAAAATCTTCTGGCTTGGCTTCTTGCTTCAGAACTCCAGTCAGCAGGAACTCAGAAGAGAGAAGGGGCAGCCCCACCCGACATGGGATGGAGCAACGAGGGAAATCCTCGGGGCATGTGATCACAACTCTCTGAGGCTGTGAAAGACAGAGCAGACAAAGTCAAGAGTGGAAAATAAATTCAAGACATTACTCAAGTAGTAACTCCTAAATAGGATACCATAAGAATGAAACCATAAGAATATGGTTCAGTGGTAGAGTGGGTGCCTTGTATGCATGAAGCCCTGGGTTCAAGTCCTTAGTACCACATTCACAGAAAAAGCTAGAAGTGGCTCTGTGGCTCAAGTGGTAGAGTGCTAGCCTTGAGCAAAAGAAGTTCAGGGGGGTGGGAAGTTGGCTCAGTGGTAGAGTGCTTGCCTCAAATGCATGAGGTCCTGGGTTCGATTCCTTAGCACCACATATTCAGAAAAAGCTGGAAGTGGCAGGGTGCTAGCCTTGAGCTGAAGAGCTGAGGGACAGCGCCCAGGCCCAGAGTTCAGGCCCCACAACCGACCAAAAAAAAAAAAAGTTCATAGGGCCTGAGTTCAAGCCCCAGGACTGGCAAAAGAAAAAAAAAAAAAAAGAAGAAGCATGTTACAGTCTGTGAAGTCCCTTGTTTGAAAGCTGAAGATGAATTTAGCCAAGCTTTTTTTTTTTGGCAGTACTTGGGACTGAGTTTAGAGCCTTGCTCTTGCTAGGCAGGTGCTCTACATTTATGCCACAACTTCAGCCCCTTTTTGCAATGGTTATTCTCAAGGTAGGGTCTCCCTTTATGCCAGGTCAGCCTGAGCTATCATCCATCTACTTGTGCTTCCCTGTGTTGATGAGGACGACAGACTCACAGCCCTGTGCCCAGCCCCTGTGCTTCCCCCATAGCTAGGAAAACAGTTGCATACCACCACACCCAGCCACTGTTTGAGATGGGAATCTTGTGAACTTTTGCCTGGGCTTGCCTTAAACTCTGATCTCCTGATTTCTGCCTCCCAAGTGGCTAGGACTGCAGGCTTGAGGTATAGTACCTGACCTTATCCAATATTTTTCTTTTTTTTTTTGAACCTGGCCTTGTGCATTGAGCCATAACTTTAGCCCTAAATTTTGCTTGTTATTTTTGAGATTTCTTACTTCCTGTTAGGTCATGCCTATCTACCTATGTTAGATTTCTGGTAACTAGGATAAACAGTTCCCTACCACCTTGATCAGCTTTTTGAGAAGGGGGTCTCCTAAACTTTCTTCTGTGAACGCTGGCTTGAAGCAGTATTCTAACAATCTCAGTCTCCTCAATAGGTAAGATTAAAGGTGTGAGTCACGGGTGTTGTTTTCCTAAGAAATATGGAAGAAGGTAATAGATACAAAATAATTTAGGGGCTGGGAATGTGGCTCAGAGGTAGAGGGCTTGCCTAGCATACATGAAGCTCTGGGTTTGATTCCTCAGTACCACTAAACAGAAAAATGACAGAAGTGGCACTGTGGCTCAAATGTAGCAAAAGATGTTCAGGGACAGTGCCCAGGCCCTGAGTTCAAGCCCCAGGACTCTCAAAACAAAAAAAACAATATAAACAAGGAAAACAGAAGAATGCTTGGTCTTGAGAATATTCTGCAGGAAACTAAAAAAGGTAGGGTGAGTTGGAGATGTTACAGTGAGAGAATTACAACAAATGTATCAATTCATGGCCTCTTGTGAATTTTTGCCTTTTCTGTTTCTGTGGTATTAAACTCAGGGCTTCACACTTGCTGGGCAAGAACTCCCATGGGTTTTTGATTTTAAGGAATAACAGTGTGTGTGCCTTGCTGTGTTCCCTAGTCTAGTATTGCAGTTCATGGTGCAAATGTTACTCTTGCCTTTGTCTCCAAGTACCTTTGACTGCATACTTTTGCCTAGCTAAATCCTGTTTTGGATACTGTACAAAGACCTCTTTCATGAAACTGAAAAATTTGATTAATAGAGTGAGGAAACAACCAATAAACTATTGTTAATTTGTTGTGATATTAATAGTGATACTACCATACTACATATTTCTTAAGAGGACAAGTATGTACGAGAATATAATGTTTGTCGTGTCCTTTAAAATACATTAGCAGCCAGGCACTGATGGCTCACACCTTTAATTCTAGCTACTCAGGAGGCTGAGATCTGGGGGTTATAATTCAAACTAGCCTGGGCAGGAAAGTTTGTAAGACTCTTATTTCCAATTAATCATCAAAAAGCCGGAGCTGGGAATGTGGCTTAGTAGTAGAATGCTTGCTTAGCATGCATGAAGCCCTGGGCTTAATTCCTCAGTACCACATAAACAGAAAAATCTAGAATTGGCATTGTGACTCAAGTGGTAGGGTACTAGCCTTGAACAAAAGAAGTTCAGGGACAGTGCCCAGGCCCTGGAGCCATTTTGTCTTTTGTGTGTGCATTTTATTTTGTTCAGGGGAGTTACAATTCAACAGGCTTATTTCAGTGTCCAGGTCTTCTTGAGCACAGTCACCCCTTCCATCATTCTCCTTTTGTATGTATTTGAAAATGTTTAAACACAAAACAAAACTAAGTCCGTTTGGTGTCAACACATCTTTTCCCTCATTTTTTTTTTGGGGGGGTGTCAGTCGTGGGGCTGGAACTCTGGGTGCTATCCCTCAGCTCAAGGCAAATGCTCTACCACTTGAGCCACAGTGCCACTTCTGGCTTTTTCTGTTTATGTGGAGCTGAGGAATTGGACCCAGGGCATCATGCATGTGAGGCAAGCACTCTACCACTGAGCCACCTTCCCAGCCCCTTTTCCCTCATTCTTATACCTTTCCCACCTGTACCTCTGTATTTTCTTTGTTGGTTGTGGGGCTTGAACTCAGGGCCTGGGCACTGTCCCTGAGCCTCTTTGTACTCAAGGCTAGCACTCTTATCACTTCAGACACAGCATCACTTCCAGTTTTTTTTTTTTTTGGGGGGGGGTCATGGGCCTTGAATTCTGGGCCTGGGCGCTGTCCCTCAGCTCTTCAGCTCAAGGCTAGTGTTCTACCACTTAAGCCACAGTGTCATTTCTTGTTTTCTGGTGGTTAATTGGAGATTCATCTCACAGTTGTTCCTGCCCAGCCTGGTTTTGAACTGCAATCCTCAGATCTCAGCCTCCTGAGTAGCTAGATTACAGGCGTGAGCCACTGTCACTTGGCCCTCTGTATTTTCTTCTAACCTTTTTCCCTTCCTGCTATCTTTTGCTGTTCCCTCACTAGACCCAGAACACACCAGACATACCTTATAGAGCCGGGGCATGTTGGACAGGATCGTGCCTCCACAACAGCTGATGATCTCTCCCATCTGAGGTGGTGGTGGCTGGACTCCAGGGGTCACATGAATCTCATAGCCCTGACAGAGGGAAATGGAATGGATGTTTATACTGACAGCTGATGGGAAATGGGGGTGGGGTAGCTGAAGAACTGGGTGAAAGACAGTTGCTCACCTCCAGCAGCCTTCGCTCCCGAGCCCGGCTCAATGCATCTCGAAGGCTGAAGCCAAAATTCTTTTCCTGCTCAGGGTCAGTCACCAGATACTCATCTGGGGGCAAGAAGTGACCAGCCTTGCGAGACTAAGGGAAGCAGCAATCAGCATCAGGATTCATCCCACTCCCTGCCTAGAGAACCTACTTACTATCTATAAAGAATTCTTGAGGACTGGGAATGTGGCTTAGTGATAGAGTGCTTGCCTAGCAAGCATAAAGCTCTGGGTTCAATTCCTCAGTACCACATAGATAGAAAAAGCAGGAAATGGTGCTGTGGCTCAAGTGGTAGGGTGCTAACCTTGAGCAAAGGAAGTTCAAGTACATTGCCCAGGCCCCAAGTTGAAGCCCCATGACTGTCCCTCCCCCCCCAAAAAAATATTCTTGAAATAACCCAGGCATCAGTGCCTCAAACCTGTACTTCAGGAGGCTGAGACTTTCTGATTAAGATTTGATGCCAGACTGGGCAGAAAAGTCTGAAGACTATCTCCAATTAACCAGGAAAATGCTAGTCTATAGGCATGACTCAAGTGATAGAGCACCAGCTTTAAGCAAGAAAGACAACTAAGACTGTGAGACCTACTTTTCTTGAATGAAACAAGCCTTCTGCCTCATTAACCCCTTGTCATCCTATGTCCCCTTTCATCCTGACACTTCCTTCAATGTTCGGTGAGCTGTCTTCTGGCCTCTCACCTGATATAGCCAGTCCAGAGAGAGGATAGGGATTCCCCTTCCCAGCGCACACAAGAACTTGACAGTCCTGCGGATTCGGTCAGTGACCAGGTGGGAAGCATCTGTCACTGAGTTGGCCAGAGTCCCCCCAAGTGCCAGCACTGCCCGCTCCCCACGAGCATCCACGACTCCTGTGAAGAGTACCTGGGGGGTAGGGGATTGGTCTGAGCTGGTCACAGCTACCCATGCCAACAATGCCCACCTTTCAAATCCCTGGGTCAGGTCCCATGAAGCCCCAGGCTCCTCCTCTCTTACTTTGGGGGCTGATCCTTGACTAGGTTTGGCCCGTCTGAGGCTGCGGCTTGGTCCTTTGGGCCCCTCCTCTGCCTGGTCTCTCTTCCTCTTGCCTGGTCCTGGGATCACTGTATCCTGGGATTGAGAAACATCTTGGTGGGAGGTTCTGAGCCAGTTTTTGTTCAAAGCGTGGTGGTCCCAGCCCTCTCCTCACCTCTTCCTTCCCTGGCTCCTCCACAGTATCTTCCTCTTCCTTGAGGAACACTGTCTTCTGGGGCCGTTTTTGGAGTGGTGGTGAGCCCTCAGTAGCAGAAGGCCTCTTGCGGATTTGAGAAAACTTAGGCAGAGGCTCTGGGGTGAACCCAGATGTACTTTCTGTTTTTATCTTTTGGTTCCGGGGCGCATGAGTAGGTGCCTGAGGAAGCTGGTGAGAGGCAGGCTCAGGAATGGTCCCAAAGGATTCAACTGCTCTTGCAGCACCTGGTCTTTGGTTATTTGAGGACTCGGGCTTCGATTCAGGGGGTGCAGGGCAAGGCTTGAGGTTAACAGGTGTGAGAGAACCATGTTTTCCAGCATCCTGTTTCCTGCTACGATTGGCTTGAGGCATGGGCTCTAGGGGAACAGGCTGGGCTATAGTGGCAGGAGGGACTTCAGAGGTGGCAACAACTGGGGTAGCACTTACGGATGAAAAATTTAGAGTCCTGTTATGAGTTATAGTCTCAGGGATGACAGGCTGGTCTATGGAGGTGAAGGGCTCAGGATCAGAAGTCAAAATGGAAGACTTACACGCCCTGCTCCTAGTAGTCCGAGATGTAGGCTTCGGAGTGACAGTCTGGACAACAGAGGTGGAAGGCTGGAGGTCAGGGTCTGTGGGGATAACTGACTCAGGGGTTTTGACAGAGGACCTATTTTTCCGACCCCGAGTGGCTCGAGATGTGGGCCCTGAGGTGACAGGATGCTGCTCCGTGGAGGGAGAAGGCAGGAGTTTGGAGCCTATGGAGACAACTGTTTCAGGGGTCTCATCAAAGGACCCATGTGTCCTATCTTGAGTGGCTTCAGATGCAGTCTTAGGGGTGACAGGCTGGACTGTGGAAGTGGAAGGCTGGAGTTCAGGACCTGTGGGAGCAACTGGTCCAGGGGTCTGGACAGAGGACCTGCGTGTCTTGCCTCGAGTGGTATGAGATGTAGTCTTGGGGGTGACAGGCTGAGCAGTGGAGGTGGAAGGCTGGAGTTCAGGGCCCGTGGGGACAACTGGTCTAGAGGTCTGGATGGACGACCTACGTGTCTTGCCTCGAGTGGTGTGAGAGGTAGGCTCGGGGGTGACAAGCTGGACTGTGGAGATACAAGACTGGAGTTCAAGGCCTGAGGGAATAACTGGTCCAGGGGTCTTGGCAGAGGATCTAAGGGCCCTACCCCGAGTGGCATGAGACACAGGCTTGGTGGAGGTGGAAGACTGCAGTTCAGGAGCTATGGGGACAACTGGTTCAGGGGTCTTGACAGAGGTTCTACGTGTCCTAGTACGGGTTGCCTGATATGTAGGCTCAGGGGGGATGGGCTGGTCTATGGGAGTGGTAGGAGCAGTAGAGAGTGGAGAGGGTGTCGTCCTAGAGGACCGACGAGGCCTAACAATATGCTTTGGGTGAAAAGACTCTGAGGACAAGGGAGTTTCTGGAGCTTCCTGACTCCCACTGTGCCTTTTGCTAAGAGTGGGTGCCTCAGAAGAAGAGGGAGAAGGAGGAAGAAAAGGCTGAGGTGCAAGATATCCTGGACTGTGAGGTGGGGCTGAAACCTCAGACAGAGGCAGACAAGCATCTGGGGATTCTGGTTCACCCTGTGGAGAAACAGAAGCAAATGAAGAGGGAGAACGAGGACACTAGGACACTGTTCTTCCTCTTCACTCAAGGCTATTGCTCTACCACTTTGAGGGGCTGGGAAGGTGGCTCAGTGGTAGAGTGCTTGCCTTGCATGCATGAGGCACTGGGTTCGATTCCTCAGCACCACATAAGCAGAGAAAGCCGGAAGTGGGGCTGAGGCTCAAGTGGTAGAGCGCTAGTCTACAGCTGAAGAGCTGAGGGACAGTGCCCAGGCCCAGAGTTCAGGCCCCATGACCGACAAAAAATAAAAATAAAAAAATAAAAAATCTACCACTTTGAACCACAACTCCACTTCTGGTTTTCTAGTAGTTAGAGTCTCAAGGAATTTTCTGCCTGGGCTGGCTTTGAACTGTGATGATCCTTAGATCTCAGCCTCCTAAGCAGCTAGGATTACAGGCATGAGCCACCAGCCTGAGGCTAACAGTACCATTTTTTAGTAGTTAATTGGAGGTAGGAGTCTCATGGACTTTTCCTGCTCAGGTTGGCTTTGAACAGATATCCTCAGATCTCAGCTTCCTGAGTAGGATTACAGGCTCAAGCCATCAATACCCAGCAAGGACTCTGTTCTTGATCCTTGTTTCTGGTTAAAGTATGATGACTGGAATTTCTTGTTCTTTGACCTGTCTTTCATTATACTGTGAAGGAAGCATCATCCCCTTTCCCGCAGGTCTCTCTATGCCAGTATGGTATTCTCCACACACACACATGACAGTGGCAACAAAGAGCAAAACAAGAGGAGATTTGTTCCTGAGTCAGGTAGAGGGAGTTACCATTAGGGAAACAGATAAGGAAAACAATGGGTACTTAAGGGCAAAACAACAGAAGCTAACTAAGGAGTGGTAAGGATAGAAGAAAACAGACCATGGTGGAAGGAATTGGAAAGGCCAGGGAAAAGGTTGCTGGAAAGGATGGAGGGCTGACCTAGAGCATAGGGAAAGTCAAGAAAACAGCTCCTGAGCTGGGCACTGGTGGCTCAGGCTGGTAATTCAGGCTACTTAAAAGGCTGAGATCTAAGGAAAGCAGATCAAAGCCAGCCTAGGCGGGAGAGGCTGTGAGACTCCTATCTCTAATGAACTATTTAGAAAAATTGGAAGTGGTGCTGTGGCTCAAGTGGTAGAGCGCTAGCTTTGAGTAAAAGCAGCTCAGAGACAGTGCCCAGGCCTCTAGTTCAGGCCTACAACTGACAAAAATAAAACATCTCTTACCCTGGAAGCCTTCTTAGCAGCTGGCATCTTGCGCTTGGAGTGGCCTAGAGAGTAAACAGAAGGGTAGCTTAGCCAGCCTGTTTGCCTGGAAAGTGATGATCATGGGGTTCACATACCACATTGGGTTCTTCTCTTTTACTTACCTCTTTGTTGCCTCCTGGGATTCACTAGGGCTCTCCTTCTGCCACCTGGCTGGCTCTCAGAAACTATGGGGCCTGAAGTAAGTCCCTGAAGGTGCCCTGCTTCCACTCTAAACTCCGGTGTTGGACTGGTGGCTTGCCCTTTCTGGTTCTGGCTCCCAGTGTCTGCCTCCCCTCTATCTAGATTCACTTCTAACTCAGCTGGCTTGCATTTTTTCTTTGGCACTGGTTTATCTTCCTGTCTCTCAAGTACTTCTCTTGTAAGGGCCTCCTTCTTCTCGTTTTCTTGTATTTCCTTGGATGTCTCCATTTCTAATGCCAAACTTTCCCTATCCCTTTTAGGACTTACACTTTTCACTTTTGTGTCAAACTCTTGTGTTTGGACAGCTCCAGCTAACATTTGGTTTTGCTCTTTATCCTCTATCTCTCTAGTTAATTCTTTTTCCCCTGTCACATCTTCTTTCTCACTGTCTGATGGCCATCCTTTGATTTCCCTCTCTGACAGCCATTTCTCAGGTTGCACCCTCTCCGCTGTTCCTTTTGGTGTGTCCATTACTTTCTCCACAGTCTGCATCCCTTTGCCTTCAATCTCCAATGGCTCTGTGTGAACTGGGTTCTCTGGATGCTGGTCTCTTGATACTGCCCTAGATGGAGATTGGCAAGATCTGTGAACCTCAAAGTGGGCAGCAGTGGGCTGGGGTTCAGAGACCTCAACCTCTCTCAGACAGAATGGCTGAGTAGCCAAGACTTCCCAAGGCTCATCTGGGGCACCTGCACATAAAGAGACAGTGTCAGAGAAAAAAGAAACACAGAGGTTAAAAGATAAAAAAGGTTGCAGGCTGAAAAAGGATTAAGATAAACTGATGAATATCTAAACGTGTTATTAAAGGAAAGCTGGGAATAATGGTAGTAGTTTTAACATTTAATAATAAGAAAAGATCAAGCTGGATGCTAGTGGCTCATGTCTATAATCCTAGCTACTCAGGAGGCTGAGATCTGAGGTTTGTGGTCTGAAGCCAGCCCAGGCAGAAAAGTCCCTGTTTGATCTTATCTCCAATAAACTACTCAAAAAAGCCAGAAGTGATGGTATGGCTGAAGTGCATAAAGAGGCTCAGGGGCAGTGCCCAGGCCCTGAGTCCAAGCCCCAGGACTGTCCAAATAAAAAAAAAGAAGAAATGATCATACCCTTACATGAAAATATGAAAACTCATTCAATAGGCTAGATCTAGACTATGGATCTGAGTTATATCATTTTTATTTTTATTTATTTATTTTGGGTCCGGTTGTGAGGCCTGAACTCTGGGCCTGGGTGCTGTCCCTCAGCTCTTCAGCTCAAGGCTAGCGCTCTACCACTTGAGCCACAGTGCCACTTCTGGCTTTTTTTCTTTTTGCTTATGTGGTACTGGGGAATCAAACCCAGGGCCTCATGCATGCACGGCAAGCGCTCTACCACTGAGCCACCTTCCCAGCCCATGTCATTTTTATTATGTTTAAAAAGTTATTGGCAAATACTGGAGTATGAATCGAGGGCCTTCATGCACTCTACCACTTGAGCTAGTCTCTAATCCTGTTTATTGTTGGTTTGAGACAAGGTTTCACTATGTAGTCCAGACTGATCTCAAAATGCCACCCTCCTGCCTCCACCTCCATGTATTCTAAATAGCACCATACCCAGCACTTTTTTTCCCCCCTGGTAAGATGAAGAAACATCAACAAAATTGCAAAAGAATAAGAAAGAACCATGAGAAAGGACCATGCAGAGGCAGAAGGTAAGAAAAGATGCAAAGGTGATGCACATAGTAGAGTTTCTTGTACCTGGGGTCTGAGAAGGGCTGGGCTCCTGGGGTAGGGTACATGTGAAGGCCTGGGTGGGTTCATCCTCCATCCTCTGGACTACTGTACAAGAAAAGAAGCCTTGAATACAGCTCCTCTGTAGAACCCTACTTCAGGTCTACTGCCCTGCCCACACCAGCCTTCACAACCTTCAACGTCCACCAGTCTAGTCTCCCAGGTTCCTGCTGGCACCAGGTGCCTCACCTTCCACGCTCTGATTCTCTCTCTCCACAAAGCACTGAGTAGCCTGAAGGTCCAGATCTTCAGGATCTGGTAGGGATGAGTACAGGAGAGATCATCAAAGAAAAAATCATGTCTGACCCTTACTCCTTACTTTATCTCTACTATTCTCTTCCTAGCCCTTACAACCAGTTTATATGAATGACCAAGGAAGGAAGGAAGGGCGGCACTCACCATCATAGTTGTCTTTGGAGTCCTTGGTCCTGCCCTTATGTGCTTTTTCCCCTCTTCCTGTTGGGGTCTGGGCTCCCTCTCTCTGTGATTGGGTGGGCTTAACTGGGTGCAATAATATCTGCTCCACTTGTGTCATAGGAGTTCCACTTTGGGTGACTACCTCAAGAGCTTGCTCCTGCTCAAAGACATCTGCAGGTCTAGGATTTTCTTTTTCCAGATGCTGATTCTTTTTCACATCTGCTACTACTAAGGACCGGTCCTCTATCACATTTGTATCCCAGTTTTCATCAGGAAGTCCATCTTCCTCTAGAGGAACCACAGGCATCTTTGCTAGGCTCCCTCCTGCTTCCACATCTATTTGATTTGTACCCTCACTAGGCTCCTGATTTGTAACAACTGGCCCTGATGGGACTTCTTCCTCCATTTCTGTATTGTTGCCCATTACAGTAGAGGAGGAGTTCTGGCTTCTCTGAAGGTGAATCCTAGATGAGCTCAGATCTGTTTTCTCACCTACATCGCTGTTGCTAAAAGAAAGTTGGTCTTTTTCTGAATCTGCTATAACAAGAGCCCCACCCTTGTCTGTGTGACCACTAGGGACAGTTTCCTTCTTTTCCACTGGGAGCCATTCTTCTTCCATGTCTGTGTCACTGTCTTTCCCAGAGTCAATGTGGCTTTGCTCTTGAAGAACTACAGGTTGTTCTCTGTCTGCTCCCATGCCTGTGCCTCTGTCCCATAGAACAGATCCATTCTCTTTCAGACATGCCAATGTGAGTGCTGCTGAGACTTCTTCCTCATCATCTGTATCGCTGTTGATCACAACGGAAGTTTGGTTTCTCTCTGCAGGGACAGCCAGTGGAGCTTTGCCCTCCTCCACATCTGTATCACTACCAGTTGGGCTCTCTTGCACATGTGCCACACCAGGTGTTCCAGGATCCTTTGTACCAACTCCATGGAAGATTTGCCTCTTCTTCATAGGAACAACGGGGGTGGCAGGAATTCCCTCTTCTTCCATATCAGTATCACTATCCACAAAGCCAGAAGTCTGAGCCCTTTCCAAATGGACATCAGCTGCCCTGCCAGGAGATCTGTCTTCTTCATCCACATCTGTGTCACTGTCCTCAGGAGGCTGGCTCCTCTTCAGAATCTCTCCATTTCCCACATTCTTAATTTTTGTGCCCTGGTCATTCTCCACTGAAGATTGAGCCTTTACTAGTCTGACAGTAGTCGGAACTCCACTGGCTTCAGGCTGCTCTGCCTCTGCAGTGGTATCTTTCCTTGAAGATAAAGCAGTCTCCACTGTTGCTGGTTGTTGGTCTTTTTCCTCATCTGTGTCACTGTCCAAGTTGAAGGGAAAAGATGTCCCAGAACCACCAGGGGCTGGAGAAGGCCCTTCTTCATCACTGTGAAGAGAAGAGAAAAGAATCTATAGAATTTACTTCCTAAGAAGGAATATCCCAATTTGGTGCCAGTGGCTACATCTATAATTCTAGCTACCTAGGAGGCTGAGATCTGAGGTTCAGAGTCAGATGGGCAGACAAATTTGAGAGACTCCTATTAGAAATTAACTTGCTAAAATGCCAAAACTAGAGGCAAGTGCCAGCCATGAGTGAAAAAGCCAAGGCCCTGAGTTCAAATCCCAGTACAAGCACCAAAAAAAAAAAGAGAAAAGGGTATCCTATTCAACTGTGAGCTCCAGGGCAGACATAGGTAATTAGTATTTTTAGCAATTAGTTTTCCCTTAATACACATCAGAGATATTCCATTAAAATTCAATGGAGTGGCTGGGAATGTGGCTTAGCATGCATGAAGCCCTGGGTTTGATTCCTTAGTACTACAGAAAAAGCTGGAAGTGTGGCTGGGGTTCAAGTGGTAGAGTGTGAGCCTTGAGCAAGAGAAGCTCAGGAAGAAGTGGTGCTGAGGCTCAAGTGGTAGAGTGCGAGCCTTGAGCTCAAGAGCTCAGGGACAGCGCCCAGGCCCCGAGTTCAAGCCACATGACCAAAAACAAAAAAACAAAACAAAGTATAAAAAAGCGGGTGCCGGTTGCTCACACCTGTAATCCTAGCTACTCAGGAGGCTGTGGGCTGAGGATCATGGTTCAAAGCCAGTCCGGGCAGGAAAAGCCCTGAGACTTATCTCCAATAAACCACTCAGAAAAACACAAGTGGCACTGTGGCTCAAGTGGTAGAGTGCTAGCCTTGAGCTGAAGAACTGAGGGACAGCGCCCAGGCCCAGAGTTCAAGCCCCGGGACTGGAAAAAAAAAAATTCAGTGGAGTAAAGGAATATATGTATAGTCCCTAAGCTCCACTTTTCAGGATAATCATCTCTTAGAGATGGATCCTCCAGCTCCTGCTTATTCCTCTTGTTGAAAATGCAGGGATTTGACCCTTTGATTCTCACCTTTCTGGAACCACTGTTGGCAAAGGGGAGGATGTGGTCGCTGATTCTTTCGTAACACACCTTTCAGAAACAAAATCTGGCAAGGAAGAGCAAAGATGAACAATTTTACAATCATTATTCCCACCTCTTCATCCAGTCTCCCAATAAACAAACTTACCTACTTCCTCCTCTGAGTCCTCAACCAAAAGCCGAGAGGGCTGAGTTCCTCCCTGTACCCGGGGGGTCTCTTCTACTGTTAGAGGGCCCTGGGAAACAACGGGTTGAGGGACATCCAGGCGATGGTACTGGCAGGGAAAGTCAGCAAACAGAATCAATTCCTTGTCCCTCAGACGATGACTCACTCCAGGGCTCAAGGCTTTAGGTGGCCTCAGGATTTGAGTACCATTGAGGCTTCCACAATCCTGAAGGATGGGTGCTTTGTTCCAGGCCAAAATTTCAATCACTGCATGTTGTTTGGAGATGGATGGAAAGGGCAGGGTCACTGCACACTCAGGGCTTCGGCCTACCATATTCTTCCCAAGATATAGTGGAAAATCTAAGAATTCGAGAGTAGATGAAGTTCAAGGTTAGGCAAATGTTCTGGTTAGTTACCCTGCTATTCACTCAAGCCTGCCACAAATATTAGAAACATAAAAAGCCTTATAACATCTAGGCATTGAAAAATTATATAATGCATTATTCATATATAAAACCCTGTCCATTCCCATTGGACTTTTTGTTTACTTTTATTTATTTATTTTTGGGTCTGGTCGTGGGGCCTGAACTCTGGGCCTGGGCGCTGTCCCTCAGCTCTTCAGCTCAAG